ATAGTATTCTTCTTGACAAATAATGAAGAATAGCAAGCTAAATTATATACTCCAATGATACTTACTTTCAGTCATAATAATTCTCTTGATAACAAATTTAATTTGACAAAAGCACATTAGAAAAATATTTATGTCATAAAACACTCGATAATTATAGGAAAGTTTCAAGTGTGTTTTGAAACTCCCACTAAGACTGATAATTATAATATTATAAACCTTGCAAGCCACTTTATTATTGGCCATCATTAATGTCACTTAATAAAAGTTGCAGAAATGTATACAGGTAGTCACATTAATGTGTATCAAATTTTTTACTACACTACTTCTCCCTCGTTGTTTGAAAAATGTACAGACATTATAAATTTCTCAAACAAAAATAAAATGAGTATTGATTTGAATAATTATCAAAAAATGATATAAAAATATCATAATCATTCAAACCAAATTAGAAAACTATTTGTAAATAATAATTATAAGAGATAGCTGAAAACTCATTCGGTATACTAAAAAGTGTAAATAGTTTGTTCATCTGAATACAATTTAATTGAACACTTTAAATAATCTCAAAAAATTGGAACAATATCATTATTTTATAATTGATAGATCCATTATGAAATCTCAAACCAATGTATGCATTTAGGTGCAAAATTAAACAACCATTCATGGCTAATAACAATATGCATGAATTTATATTCTTTTTTGGTTGCAATATTCTCGGATGAGAAGTCTATGACATGTATTAGTACAACTTCACATAATTGGAGAATTATATCCGGTGACGATAACTGTGTAACTTACGTCCAAAAAAATTATTCTAGATATACTTGAATTTGTAAAATAAATATGCTTCAATATTGATTCACAAATCGAAGTATTAGCATAGAAAAAAATAATACATCACACTTTGATGCATACGGTTAAAGAATAGGTCTTCATTATGATCAAATTGTGAACCCAAACAATCAGCTTTGGTATTTTTCCATTATGTAAACTACATGCAGGAAGCTTGAAGTCGGACATGCATAAATTTCTTTCGCGAAATCAGATTGAGAATGGATTCCTAATTTTTAGAAGTTTGAACCTGGATGCATTAGTTCCATAATTGTGAAGGACAAAAATCGCATGTACCATAATCCGCAAGTGTAGACTGGTTATATTGATTTACAAACCGATAACATTAACCCATACTTTCAAACCACATGTTAACATTATGATTTTAAGCATGGATGTTGGTCTCTCGCATGGTTTAGATTTGTGGAGATGGCATCATACTTCTCACGGTAGACATATGATGACAGTAAAATATATACACTTTTAGCACGCACTTTCTACTCATTTTTACTTAGTATTAGGTATAAATTAATTAGAATTAGTTTACTTTTGGGTTGATTTTGTATTTAAGAGTAGTGAAGGGGCCAATGTAGAAAATCAGCATAAATGATGGCCAAATTGCACAAAAGAGCATCATTCTGGACTGAATTGGAAGTGTTGGAATTCAGGCTGTTGGAAGGACGATCAGAGATGGAGCAAGTGGAGAAATCCTTGCTGAGGAAGGAAGAATGGCAGCAGATGATCATAACTTGGAAGAATCTACTGCAACACACTCAATTGAGAGGAAGAAGAGCAGCCGCCCTGCTGCCAAGTTGCTGCTGCAGTAGCTGTTGCTGCTGTCAATCTAAGGAGCCACGAGCTGAGATCTTGATGCCCAAGGAAGAAAATTGCTTTGCCATCACTGCTAGTTATTGCTGTTGCAAATGAAAGAAGAGAAAGAGGGGGAATATGTGAAGAACAGCAGCTGCAACTCTACTACATACCAACTGATGTTGCTGCTGAGTTGATGGATTGGCTGCTGCAAAAGGGTGAGTAATGGTGGAGCAAGTGACCCAGGAAACAAGGAAGAAAAAGGCACAAGATTGAGGCTGAATTGGGGGCTGGAAACACAATGATGGAAGAAAGCATGCTGATGATGCTGCTGCTTGCTGACTGCTGTAAATTGAGCTGTGAAGATTAAAGAAAGAAGAAATGGAAATTTGTGGCTGCAAATGGTGAGAAAGCGCCGAAAAAGAAGACTAAGTAGAAGCAGCAATAATGAGTAGAAGGTGGTTGATTCCGGTGAAGGAGCTGACCAGAGAAGACTAAGTTGCTGAATAAACAAATGCCTTTGGCTGCTGCAACTTGTTGTCTCCTCCAATCTGCTGCAATGAACGCCAGAATTCCACCAATCCAATCCTCTCTAATCTCTATAAATAGCCAGCCAATAACAGCAGTTAAAGGGAGACAGATTGAGATAGTTAGAATCAGTTACAAAGATAGTAGTTAGGTAGTTAGTTAGTTGATTAGAATCAGGGTAGTAGCAGGAATAGGAGCGCATACTGTCACTCTGTTAAGTGGCGAACGCCACTCGCCTAAGTGAGCAGACACTGACTGCTCTACTACCATCTTTCCCTTCTATCCTCTAACCTTTTGATCTTGAATTATGTCTTATCTTTTGCACTCTGTTGCTCTTATGTTTTATTCGATAAACATGAGTAGCTAACTCAGTTGAGGGTTTAATCCCTACTATGTTTATGTGAAGGTTTTGATTCAGTTTTCCTTGATGAGACAGTATGTCTAGTTTAAGTGTTTTAATTAACCTTTTGATTAAACTGACCACTTAATTAAATGTGCATGCATGTTATGGAAATCTGAGAGGGCAAACATAACTAGAACGTCTTAAATTAGTCTATGACAAAGGAGGAAATCTACTCTTTGGTTTCAATCATCAACGAGAGTTAGGTGATTAGCGTAGGTGATCAACAGGGCTTAAGAACTCAATGTTTTAGATTAATCTCAATAATCTAACTGAGAGGTAGGTAATTTGGTAATCTAAGACTCTTTACTCTGTTTGAGAGGAATTGTAAAGAATATATATGCCCGATCAGACAATAAATCATACACTACAGAATTACTTGAATTAAAACTGGATCATAAAGAAAACAAGGTGATTGACCATTCTGCCTCTTCACTCTGTCAAGTGACTATTCTCACTCTCCTAAGTGACAAATCTGTTCATCTCTTCTACTTTCTTTTCCTTGCACTTTAATCAGATTTTGAGCTATTTGACTGCCGTCTCTGTAGAACGACCCTACTTACCACTAGTTAATAGTTCTAAGTAGATTTTATAAATATTCTCTTTCGGGTTAAAATCAACGACACGCATTTCAAACCACCAACATATTATAAAATCAGTTTATCATGCCATCATCTCTTCTAGTTCGGACCCTTTTACTTTTTTGCGTATTCTGCCTTGTGTTAAACATTTTTTATGGAGTTTCTACACAGAAACCTTGTCATGCCCTAAAAGCTTACTTCGTCGTGGTCTTCTGCCTATATCTACTTGTGTTTTCTATCATTCCATGTATGTTTCAATGTCTCATTTTTTTTACCTATTCGTTTTTCTGTTTCAATATGCCGTTTGGTGAGCTTATATGATGAAGTTAGTCAGTTTCATAATCCCCAAGGTGCCCTTTGGCTTGCGACTCTAGTCATGCAATTGTCTCGCGATGTTATGGTGTTGGTCGCGTTGCTTTGTAATTTTATGTGGTATAGTTACAATGAAAGGTTCCACGAGGAAACCTTTTTTGGCACCGTTCTAGGTGGTTACTTCCTCTAGTTTGGTACTTAAATCCTTCACGAAGCTCTTTCCTCAATGTCCATCAGCATTCGATCATAGTTCGTTGATGGGCCAAATTCTGCTTGGGTTGCGTGTATGGTTTGATGCATCTATTTATGTAGCAAATTGATCTGCTGATTTTGGAGTGTGGTGTGTTGCTGAAAATAGTATTTTTCTACGTGCAAATGATCGCCGTGCATATGGCATCCAAGATCATTTTATTGTTGAGATTCTTGCTCTTAGAGAGGCTGTGACTTTAGACGAATCGAAAGGATTTTTTTTTTTTTTTTGAAAAGGATACCTGTATTAGCTTAAAGTCCTAAACTACGACATTGCATCCGATAGTAAGCTAAATTATGAATTTTCGATATATCCAACCTAGTAACTTTAATCAGTTTACAGTAATCAAATGAATCTATAAGAGAAATGAAAACATGTACTAGTTCTTCGACTTCCATCGGAATTCGCGAATCCCGTAGGTTATTAATAATAAACTCACAATCCGTTTGGACTATGAGATGTTGAAGCCCTAGAGATGATGCTTTTTAAAGGGCTTTTAGACAGGGCGTTAATTCTGTTTGTAACGGAGAAATTGCCCGAATGTCCATTGACCCGATTTAGATAACCATATTAAAAGGGGACGTGATCTTTCAAGCACCGACAGTTTTCAAGACTGTGGGATGAAAGGAACCATCAAAGGAGACAATAGACCTGTTGGGGCTATATTGACGCCTTTGGGTTCGTTGATTAATAAGCAGTTTCTGTTTCTGTTGACGTTTGTGTGTTAAACTCCATTTGGATGATTCGCCTGGGCCCATGAGTCCGCTAGGTCTTGAGAAATTTGTTTCAAGAGTTTATCATTCATTTCCTTCCAGATGCTCCAGATGATCAACAGAAAGAGATCAACATTTTCCTTAGATGGATTCGAGGAAATCCATCAGATAAATCGCTAAAACAGGATAGTTTGAGAGTCCTGAAATAACAAATTGAAGGAGATGGGAGCCATATTCCAAATTCCTTCGGATGAATGACAAAAGAGTTGTTAATTTCTCAATTTAAGGAGACTCGGTGAATTTAAGGGGACGAATTCGCCTTACATGTTTAACTTATTTTGGTGTCTTTTGGAATCGTAGATCGACAAATATTGTTAATTGCTCACGAGTTAGCTTTCTTTGCTAAGAATAACACATCGATATTTATAACGTGGTCTAATTCACTTCCTATTACTAAACGCACTTAGGCGCTTCCCAACAATCTTAATAAATTTTATTTTATTTTCAAAAAAATAATGTATTAATATATCGATTATTTAAAATTTTTTAAATTAATAAATTTTGGTATTCCAATTCTATTAATGTGTAAAGTTCTATTGTATGAAGAATTGACCCCCTCTGAAAACGTGCCCATTCCCCGGAGCTCCGGCCCCGACGGACCGGACGGAGTTTAAAACAAGACTGAAAAATCGAGACACAAAACATTCAATGGCGAGGTTATTACAAGGATCATCAATCTCCTCGTCTTACCTCGTTGAATTCGAGAAAACAAAGAACATCCCATCTCGCAATTTCAGCTCATACTTCGTACACCGCACCAGAAACCCGAAAAGGATCCGTAATCGTTACCGTTCATCCTTGGCGGTTTCATCATCTTTGCAGAAAGAAGAAGCTCAGGCACTTGTCAAACAATTCGACCCTCAAATCCCTATTGAGGAAGCTTTCACCCCGCCAAGCTCTTGGTACACTGATCCTAGCTTTTACTCTCTTGAACTGGAACGGGTCTTCTTCCGAGGATGGCAGGCTGTTGGTAAGTACTCAATTGCGAACCTAACATTTATTCTGTTTTAGTGAAAAATAATTAGAAGATATGGCCGCTTGATTTTAGGGTTGTTTACATAAATTTGCTATGTATTGGCAGGATACACAGAACAAATTAAACATCCCCGTCAATATTTTACTGGAAGGTAAACACTTTTGTGTTAGCTTCTTGATGACACTTAGCGTTCTTTATGCCCTCTTTCTGGAAAAGCTTGATTTGGAAAGATGGATTTATATAATTTCTTATGAAAAAGATTGAACGTGTGTTCTTTAAAAGTGCTCGGTTATGATTGTTGAATTATCGCAGGTTAGGAAATATTGAATTTGTGGTCTGCCGGGATGACAGCGGGAACATACGGGCATTTCATAATGTTTGTCGCCATCACGCTTCTCTGCTGGCTTCCGGGAATGGGGAAAAATCTTGTTTTGTTTGCCCCTATCATGTGAGTATTGAGATTCAGGATTGTGGATTGTAAACTTTTCAGTTAAAATTTGTGAAGAAAATCCGATGCGCAATATGTTTTTTTTTTGTCAGCGGCTATAAGATTACCTAGTTTATTAACCTTGACTCTGCAAATTCTGTTCTATCAATTGTAGTACTATGAATTTGCTGTAGCTTTATCTATAAAATTAGCTGTTGCTCAAATCCGCAGAATCTTCAAATGTTGTAACTTATGCCTAACCCAAATTATGTTCATCTGATGCAGGGATGGACTTATGGATTGGATGGTAGACTTCTCAAGGCAACTAGAATAACAGGAATCAAGAACTTCAAAGTGAATGTATGAATACACACTGATACCTATCACTTTTCTCTCTCATATTGAGGGGTTGACTTAGAGTAGTTAATATTTAAATATGTATATCTCTTTGTAAGGATTGTAGGAAATGGGACTGGTTCCATTGAGAGCAGCGGTTTGGGGACCATTTGTTCTTATCAACTTTGACAAAGGGAGTCTGGCACAGCAAGAATCTGATACAGATGCTGTTGGGGCGGAATGGCTGGGTAGCACGAAAGAGATACTAAGTTCTAGAATAATTGAATCTTCACTGAGTTTCATATGTCGACGAGAATATACAATTGAATGCAACTGGAAGGTTTGAAAATGCTCTTTCTATTTAGTAATTTTTCTTGTACCTTAGGAAGCTCTGACAACTTTTCTTATAGTTGTACAGTGACTTTTGTCGGGCATTTATTCCCTTCTTGCAGGTTTTCTGCGATAATTACCTAGATGGGGGATATCACGTTCCATATGCTCATAAAGGTCTTGCATCTGGCCTTGAGCTTGAGTCATACTCCAGCACTGTACGTGACTGCCTCTTTCCATTGGTGGTCTTTTTATCTGGTGCTCTGTATGTTCATGGCTTTTTGAGAACATGCTCTTTATTTAATAGAGTTCCATTCTGGAAACAAAGTACAGATTGTTGCTAGTATGTTCTTCTGTGAGATTTAGAGGCTCCTTTATTCTGTTACTAATATTTTATATGATTTTAAACTCTCCCTTTTTCCTAGGAAAGGAAGGGGCAGTGCTTGGAAGTCTATTATGTAACCTAATTAAACTCAGTCTTATACCCCAGCCAGCATAAGCTGGGCTAGGGAACAGGGGATTTATCAAATTCTTACATCGCTTCCAATCTGATATAACAGGTGCATGAAAAAGTGAGCATCCAGAGATGTGGAGGTGATTCCATAAAAAGTGAACCAGACTTCGATCGGCTGGGCTCAGAAGCTTTGTATGCTTTTGTATATCCAAATTTCATGATCAACAGGTAAGTTCCCAGATGTGAAATTTCTTAGTGTTCATTTGTTGTATCACCTGAAAATATGAAGCATCAAGTACTTTTTGCTTAGGTATGGACCTTGGATGGACACAAACCTGGCTATACCTCTGGGTCCTCGAAAGTGTCAAGTGATCTTTGATTACTTTCTTGATACATCTCTTAAGGTGTAGTTGATTTTGTCATTTGCTTATCCCAGCATTTTGTATACATATTTATTATTATTGAGATGGGGATTGGGGATTTTGGTTTCTTGCAAATGCAGCTGGAGAGGCTTGAACCCCTAACTTCTGGGGTGAACTCTTAAAGCCTGAACTACTGCGCCAGGATCGACCCCTATCTCTTGTTTTATTGAACCATGAAATATCAAGTAATTTTAAGATGCAGTGTGCCAGTGTCAATTGTTATCTGCAGAATTTTAAAGTGAAGTGGTCTCATGCTTGTGTGGAAGTATCGATTTTATGCATCTCAGATATAAACATCACTTGGAAGTGATAGTTAAACACTGAAGTAGAGGTTCTTTTAGAACTAGTTTGCTGCTTTATCAGAATATCGGGAATCAGAATTTTTCGCTAGTGTCCTTGAACTGAAGACTAGCTATATAGTTGTTGAACAGATATGATTGTGCACCATTATAGTCTTGGTTGATTTGGTCATTTAGGCACATAAGATGTTGCTGGATTTTTGTGATGTTCGACAAAGCTTTATATTGTAGGACAAACACAAACACAACCAAAAAAAAAAAAAAAATCATCTCAAACCATTTATTTGGATAATTTACATGCGTATCTTATTAGGGAGGTTTTTGTGTTGGAGAAACTTCTAGAGGGTCTAACCGTCTAGTTTGTATTCGTTTTAATATGATGTTCTTTTTGTTCTTGATCATACTGTCTTTTGCTTGGCACACTGAGCTCATCATTTAACTAGCATTCAATACTAATCCTGTCATAGCATTAATAATATCCAATCTCATGCATTTGAACTTCGTCGAAATGGGCACTAATTTTTTTCATTACATGTGAGGGTTTTAGTGCCTTTGAATGTCATGGATTGTAACTTCACATAAGTTCTTCCCGAAAAAATTATTACATTACAGATGAAACCTTAGTACTGACTATCCTAAACCCTTTCAGGATGACAAGGATTTCATAGAGAGAAGCTTGAAAGACAGCGAGAAAGTTCAGGTACACCTACATCTGTGCAAAATCTTGTTAGCTGCTTCCATGCTAAGTTCTCATTTTCTGTGCTTTTGTGGCTAAAGCCTAAACCATACGCTGTTGCTGCTGTGTCGCAGGAGGAGGACATCATATTGTGTGAAGCTGTTCAGAGAGGTATTGAGTCTCCGGCATATTGCTCAGGTCGATATGCCCCTACTGTTGAGACCCCTATGCATCATTTCCATTCTTTGCTCTATGAAAATCTCTGCATCTGATCAGCTAGCTACTTTTTCAAAACTTGTGTGAATCAATTGCTGGATGGGGTGGGCATACGTGTAAGCTTGAAGGTTGGAATGTCACTAGCTTTCAATTTAACTGCGGTTTCTGTGAATGGGTCAATTGGATGTAATGCATAATTGTGTACCATTAACTTATTATTATGCTCATCATTATAAAATTTATAATGCAAGTGTACAGTATACTTATCACTATGCACAATTTAATTAAAGAAAATGGATGACGAACATTGGATTATTTCAATATAGAATATGTGAATCCTATGTAAAAGGCTTTTTCTCAGATATAATAAGGAACTGAGGCCAAAGGCTAAACTATTAAACTATGCCATTTTGTTGGTGAAAATCTCAAAAAAGTAGTGTTTCACTTTATTTATTTAATTTTTATTTTTTAAATAAGTTTCACTTAATGAGTGCGCTAATACAGAACCTTATACTTATTACATTGAATTTGGAAAAGCGTTTTTATTTGGTCACCAAGCGTACGCAAATATTGAAGTGGAGTGGACGAGTTAGGTGAATGTAAACTCATTGATTTTGGAAATGAACAATAATATTCAATTAATTAATCAACAAATGCAATCACAGAAGAAAGAAAGTAACTTATATATATGGTAGTAATATCTGATATGATGGTGATTGATTAAGGGTTAAAGTGCATATAATTGTTTAATTAAGGGATATGAATTCTGTACAAGTAAAATGTCTAATTGACATAATTGTCTACCTGCATTTTATGGCCGAAATAAGTTTGGGGTGAAGGTTGTTAGTATGAGATAGAGTTCAATCTACAAATTCAACGGAAAAGTTAGTCCAATGACACGATCACTTTAGGATAAATCACATTCTCCCTCCGTCTCATAATTATTATCCAGTTTGTGTTTTTATTTTTAGTATAAATTAAACTAAAAGTCAAATTTCAAAATGGACAATAATTTTGAGACAGTACATAATATTAGGGAAACAAAAATTATTATTACTATAAATTATTTACATGTTATTCACTCACTTATTCGTATATCACGTCATTGATTTATTCATATTAATAGAGCCACTTAACAAAGGACATAAAAATCGTAATAATGACTAGTTTTGTATTAGAACTACGATCAACAATTGTAATTTGATCCCCCCAAAAAAAACAAAGTAATTTATGTGATTTTATTAATGAAACGATAGTTTTAGTAAATTTAAAATTTCACACATAATACATAATCCTGATACATAGAAAGGTGAAATGTATTCATTTATTTATTAAAAAAATATAATTCCAAATAAGAAAAAGAGTCAAATTCACATCCATATTGCCAACCAAATAATAATTACAAATGTTTTCTCTAAACAAAAACCAGCTCACTTCCCTTAAAAATTGTCCAAATTCAAAGCACATTCACAAAAATAGTTAGGCATCCAAGTTCCAACAATGTACTTAACCCTCAAATCTTGACTAAATATCCCAATATATTATTTATTCATTTCTTAAATTCCTCAAATTTCTTTTTTAAAATAATATTTAATAAAATTTTCCCCCATTTTTTAAAAGTTTCCCTCCATAACTTTCCATATTTACTACCCAACAACAATCCATATCCAAATATCAAAATCCGCATAAAAACCCGGGACCCCGAGATCGAAAACCCGAACGATTATAAACAACCCATCAAAAAGCCTGAGCCGACCTTTCTCACAATCTCCATTCTTTATCTCTCTCTCTCGCACGCGCACACACACACACACAACCGTGAGAGCGCAAAATCTCATCCTCTCTCTGACTCTATCTCTCTCTCCGATTCACTCCGATCCAATCCAATCCAATCGAAAGTCATCACTGTAAGTGTATAGCTTCCGAACTTGTTTCCATAAACCCTAATTTTTTTTTGCCGCTTCCGTTTCAGATCCCTTTCCTCAATTTTGATATGGAATTAGAGGATCGATGCTTGCCATGTTTTGTCTAACTTGATTCATTTCTAATCAATTTCGATTGATTTCGAGTCGCATGGCTTTTTTTTTTTTTTCCCCTTGGATTGGTTGATCAACTTTGGATTTTGACAGCGGCGTGGGCGTGCAGTGATTTCTGATTGTTTGTATTATCAGTGGGTGTTATGGTTTAACTACCAATTTCTGCCTTCTAGGTTTTTTCCCCCATGTATTTGGTATGAAATTTTGTATTTTTGTTTTTGGGGTAGACGTGGAATATTATTAGTTAAAGAGGTGGGGGATAAGGTTTTTAGGGTTTGACTTTTGGTTAAGAATGTGAGCTGATTTCTCTATCCGGGAGATAATCATAGTTATGTGTACTTTGGTAATCTTTACTTTGGTGGTCGGGTTGTTTGGTTAGGCTCCGGAGGTTTTCCTGAATTTTAACTTAGAATGGATGGAGTTTTTTTTTTTAATTGTGGCCGATGGAAAATAATGTTGCATGTGAATAATCCTCGCATTATGCTATCCAGGCAAAGCTTTCTCATTTTTCTTTTTTGTTGTTTGTTTAATCATTGAGGTTTTAGTGATATAATTTGTTTAATTGTTATTTAAATTCTATGCTTTTTGTTGGAATGATTTTGTAATTTGTATCTATTCATTTGGCCTAAGATTTTAGTGTTTGTATGATTTTGAAGGCAATCATGAGCGACGAAGGTGAAAGGACCTGTCCCCTCTGCGCTGAGGAAATGGATTTGACAGATCAGCAATTGAAGCCTTGCAAGTGCGGTTATGAGGTTTGTGTGGCATTTTCTATTTTGATTTTTTTTTTAGTGAGAGATTTGTTCGTTTCGGGGTATTGTCACTTTTCTAATCGCCTTTGGTTTAATTGGACTTTGATGTGATTTCTAGTTGAATGCTTTTCATTTTTATCTGCTGGGATTCTTACAGTACATGAAGAGAGTTTCTGCTGATGATCAACATACACATTTTTTTTTTGTGAAGTTTGATGTTGAATTCCCCAAAAGGATATCATGCCAAGATTGTTGTATACAAGCTGCCGTAGAGGATTTGGATTTTTTATTTATTTATTTATTTTTTGCTCCATAACTGATCCAAAGAGATTCCCTTCTGAACTTTTAGTTGCTGTCAATTATCCTTGCATGGTGTCCTTCATCAGATAACCACACTTGTTTAATGGAACTTCAGCCAATACTTGAGATCAATCTCTACTCGTTTTTCTTTCATTAACCGCCATTGATAGAAAGTTTCACCAACCATTTTAGTTTTCTTTCCCTGTAAGGTTGTTTACTGTTTTTTCTTTTGTTATTTGTCAGTGTTGCGTTTGGAGTTCTTGATCCTTTTTATGTTCCTCTGGATGGTTTATATATTTGGAATGTGTAAGTTGTCATGTTATATGTGCATTAGACAATGTGTTATTCTTCTCAATATCAGTAAAAGTGTTTGGCCTCATAGAAAGCACACAGCTTCTGATATTTTTTTGTTAGTTTAAAATTAGACCTTGAATATTTTATGATGTTGCTGATGCCATAGGATAGGGAGCCCCCACATTCCTTCCCCGTTGCCCTTGTTAAATTTATAAAGTGAGTCACAAGAAGTGAAAATGTAATAGATTTGATAGGGATTGTATTTGAATTCAATGGTTATTTGTCCTGTGACAGCAATCTTTATGTTTGACATCTGTTTTGGCAGATCTGTGTTTGGTGCTGGCATCATATAATGGAAATGGCTGAGAAAGATGACACAGAAGGTCGATGCCCAGCTTGTCGTGCTCCTTATAATAAGGAGAAGATTGTAGGGACGGCAGCAAGTTGTGAAAGGTAGCTCTGGTTACAGTTTTAGTTTTCTGAAATCTACGCTATCTTTTGTGAAAGAAGATTATCATTTCTCTGACGTCCTCATGATTGCTACAAAATCTTTGTGACAGGTTGGTGGCTGAGATGAATATGGAGAAAAAATTTAAGACACAAAAGGGGAAAACTAGAACATCTGAAGGGAGAAAGCAACTGACTAGTGTGCGAGTTATCCAAAGGAACCTTGTCTACATTGTTGGGCTGCCTCTTAATTTAGCAGATGAGGATGTATGTTTTACTGTTTCTTTCATATCCTTCTTCACCCCTCTTTCGTCCTATTCTATCTGGCATTGTTTGTATTGATCATTTGCTCCTGATGCAGCTTCTTCAGCGTAAAGAATACTTTGCTCAGTATGGTAAGGTGCAAAAAGTGTCTATATCCCGTACAGCGGCTGGAACTATTCAACAATTTACGAATAATACTTGCAGTGTGTAAGTGTTATCCATTTCTTTCAATCCACCTCTTTCCCTCTTTGGAAAATGTTTATGAGATCTGGTTACCTGGACTCTCTTCTTTCTTGGCTTGATACTGATGAGATTCATACATTTGGATTTTGACCTAGATATATTACTTATTCAAAAGAGGAGGAAGCAGTTCGTTGCATTCAGGCTGTACATGGATTTATGTTGGAGGGCAGACCATTGAGGTTGTTGAGTTACTAAAATTTTTACCTCTGATGGTTTTGTTTTGAAGATAATAATTATGAAGTTCTTTTTCTTTCAGGGCGTGTTTTGGAACCACCAAATATTGTCATGCGTGGATTAGAAATGTGGTATGTCACTTGTATGTTAATCGAGTTAAACTTTGATTCAACTGTCATTATGTGTGTGTTCTTGATCTTCTAAACCCAACATTGAACTATTTTTGCAGCCTTGCACCAATCCTGACTGTCTATACTTGCATGAAGTTGGTTCACAAGAAGATAGTTTCTCAAAAGATGAAATAATATCAGCATACACCAGGTGATTTTGGTTCTTTTGCCCCCTATTCTCTTTTCATTTTGTTTGCGCTGAATTTGTTGGGATAACCTACATTGTGGTTATTTGCTGCTCTTTTACTCTCTGTTGTTGTAGCGCTTTCTGCCCCCTTTGATGGCTGGATTTATTGTTGACTAAATTTAGCTTCTTGGAATCACCCGGATGTTTTAAATTTGTTTCAATGCGGATCCGTTTTCTATGAATTTGAATTTATGCGGTTGTTGCGGCTTGTGCCTAAGTTTCATTTTCATCCATTAATAACTTACTCATTGGTTAACTTATTATCTTATCTGTATAAAGCATATAGTAAATTTTTTTTTTTTTTTTTTTTTTTTTTATAGTGGTTGTTTAGTCTAAACTGTTGGGGTAAAATTGTTAGGCCTGTGATTAGAAGTTCCTGCCTGTGTAGAGTTTGGGAATGGGCAGGACCGGTTGGGCTTAATGTATGCAGTCTTATCTTTTGTCTATAGTTTGTTGATCTGTGACCTTAGAGAATATGGCAACATCTTACTGCTGTACCACGGCTTTCTATAATCCTATTTTTGAGGATGTTTAGGGGAATACTTTGATGGCATCACCTGAATTGTGGTTTTTCTGATGTTTATTTCGGCTTTCGGCAAGTTTTTGCTTTTCAAAATTCATTATAGTCAAGATAATTTTTTAGGAATGTAAATGGTCATCTTAGTATATCTTTTGAAATTATAGAAAACATAATTTTCCAGAAGGATATGTTTGTGAAATGTAATTTTCGATTTTGGAGGTATAAATTGGTTTCTTTTTGGTTGTATGATATCACTTCACATTGGGTGGGACCCCCGAATGTTGGTGATGCAATTTGTAGCAATTAATTGACCTGATTTATTGTTTCATTTTCTGTATGTTGTTTATATCTTCATTTTTTGAAACTTGGTTTAAATTTCTTATGAATACGTATTCTCAGCCACACTATTTTTCTTTTACTTATACAATGATTTTTCTGTTCACCTGTTATTACTTTTACGACATTCTCTGGGACAGATAATTAACTTGTTTATGCTTTAAAGGAATAGAGTACAACAGATTACGAGTGTGTCAAATAGTATACAACGACGATCTGGAAATGTGTTACCACCACCTGCAGATGATTACTCTAGCAACAGTTCTGCTTCCTCAGGCAAACCAATTAGTAAAAGTGTTCCAAATGTAAGATTGTTGTCTCTTTCTATGAGAAGTACTATTACTCACGGTGGTCATTTTTCTTTTGCTTATTTTTGCTTTCACTTGATTTTGCTCTATCAAATGGCTTTCCTATTTAACTAGTTTATTTGTAGTCAAATTTTTTTAAATTACGTTCTTGTTTTCTTCTATTGCTCAAGATGTCTTGTGCATGATTGGAGTGCTTCTTAATTTGCTGGAAAGTGAAGTGAACTTTTTTGAATGATTGGATTTTCACCTTTGTAACAGGCTAGTAGCTGCACTAAAACTTCTCCGCCGAATAGTAGTTCTGGAAGATCTGTTGCTCTTCCTGCTGGAGCCTCATGGTATGCATTAGCCGAATTTGATTTTAATTTCTTGTGGGATCGTATCATCTGAATCTTATGATTTTGGTCTTTCAGGGGAACACGGTCCTTTAATAACCAGCCACCATCTCCAAGTATAACTTCCTGTAATGGACCTCAAAATCAGAAACCAGACACACCTAATGGCCCAGTTTCATTCTCTACGGTGCTTGCTAGCTCAAATCAGAGTCCTCAAATGCATTCTGATGCAGGGAAGAAGCTTGTTGCCACTGAAGGAAACAATATGGCTGAAGTGGAAAGCAAGCCAATTTTGGAACCTGTTAATCAGACTTCATCTCCTGATAGCCCTTCTGGTTTGTCTGATACCTCCGGCAAATTATCTCATCATACCTCACCAGCTATATCCACAAAGCTAAATGCCCAATCAGCGTCGAGGGATAAAGATAAAAGTGGCATTTTGCCTCCTAAGGTTAGCAGCTCTGATGACAGCTCATCGGAATCTTCTGGCTCTGGTTCAATAAAAGATGCAAATGATGATTGGGATGAAACTGTTCAGAGTTTGTCATCTGACATGTTGTCAATGAACGTTGATAAACATCAAAGTTTAGAACAACGTTGCCAAGACCAGCCTGGAGAACCTTTGACTTCTCAGGCTGTGAAATCTGTGGAATCTAAAAGTGAGATTTTTACCTCAAATAGCAAGCCAGACTCTGGTTGGGGTGTAGAAACTCCAGAGGTACAAGTTGCTGCGTCATATGAAGAGAAAGATGATCTGCAATCTTTTGAGAACCAGAGACTGAAGGATCCGGAACTTCTCAGTCATGGTGGCTACTTTTCCAATAACTCCAACCCTCTATATTTGTCTCATGATTATAGAGTTCATTCCTCTTTAGTTAATGGTCCGTTGGAGGTTAAAGGTGATCGACTATTTGTGGATAATAAAGTTGATCCGGTGTTACAGCTGTCTGGTACTCCGTTTTTGTCCAGTGGGTACCCTGAGAAACAACAGCTCAACAGTTTTTCTTCTTTTTCACGCAATGGTGAAAACTCGTACTTGTCTTCAAATAATGAGACTTCAAACCATATAGTGAGATTGCATAAAGAATTATCTGGTGCTGGCCAGAAACCTGCTTCAGATGTAGGAGAGAGCAGCATAATATCAAACATATTATCTTTAGACTATGATACATGGGGAGAATCACTAACTTCACCTCAGAATTTAGCCAAGTTTTTGGGTGAAACCGACAAGCATCAGAGCTCTCAAAGAGTGTCTAGCCCTTGGAGAATGCAACAAAGCAACCAGTCCAGGTTTTCCTTTGCAAGAGAAGAGGAACCTTTTGCTCATGGACACGAAGCTGAATCATCTCTGGGATTTACAGATCAAGGGTTTAAACAAACTAATTATGGTCTTGACTTTGCCAATAAAGGGGGCATTCATGGGGACCAGTTTGGACGCAATGGTTTTTCATTTTTAAATACTGAGGAACATGATATGTATACAAGCTCTCATTCTCTCTACAATTCTAACAAGCTTACAGGTTAGTTGAAAGTCGTAAAATTGTAGTTTTTGGATTAGCTTGCGTGTTTAAGGGTTTATTTTCTTTATTACTACCTTTCTTAAAGAAGTTGCATTTGAAGGCTTGCTGCTGTCTGTTGCCAGATTTTCTTGAGAACTTTTGGCAAGCTCTGCATTTATAATTTGATACTATCTGTTATTTTATGTATGCATGGATAGTCAATCTGTTTGAGCACTTCCAAAGCATTTGCGTGGATGTGCCTTCTTTCTCATTTATTTTGGTTTCACACGCCATTGGATCCTCTTTGTTACTCTTCTGATTGATGTTTAAAACTAGTTTGTTTTCTAGTATTCTCATGACTCTCAAAATTTACGTCTTTGGTGAATTATAAATTGAGAGAGACTTTAGAGGGCTTAACGGAAGTTTCTGCTTCTTTCCAATTTGGTGTTAGTATGAGGTTTTGCTATTTTACTTTCTCAGTGAGCAGGCTGTGCCCAGTAAGCATCAATGCTAAAATGGTTAAGTTTGATTGACTTTACTGCAAAAGCCAGTGAACTGTGAACTATTAGACAGATTGTGGTATGAAAAGGTGAACATTGTACCTTTTATGCTTGTTGATTTGTAATCTGTTTTAATTTATCTTGTGCGGTAATCTCGTCCATTTGTTAATTTGAATATCTAGAATGGAGTCTTGGTTTGAGAGTTTTTTACTTAACCTTTTCAACACAATATTGTGAGTGCTGCCACTTCAGCGCCCTCCTTTGAGATGGGCTAATATCTAGATTCTTTGCAGGTGTGAGATCTCAGATAGCTGCGCCGCCAGGCTTTGCAACTCCCAACAGAGCACCACCTGGTTTTGTGTCTCATGAGAGAGTGGAACAAACTTTCAACTCATTTTCTGGTTAGCCCCATTCTCTCCCTCCCTCCATCTGTGTGTGTGTGTTTGTGCGTGTGTGCGTGCGCGTGCGTGCGTGCGTGCGTGTGTGTCTGTGTGTGTGTGATGTGCTTGCATCCCATTCTTTTAGAGGACTGCCTACCCCTTGAAGAAGTTTTTAGAGAACGCCTTTGGAATATGATGTGGTTCATGACATTAACTAACCTATTTTGCAGGACACCACATGCTTGACTCCTCTTCATTCAGGAATCAGTATCAGCCAACACAGACTGCAAATAGTTTTAGTAATGGGGATCTTGAGTTTATGGATCCAGCAATCTTAGCTGTTGGGAAAGGGAGGCTTCCAGAAGGGCATAACAGCTCTGGGTTGGACATGAGATCGAGTTTTTCTCCCCAAGTAAATAGTTTTGAAAATGATGCAAGAATTCAGTGGTTGATGCAAAGATCTCTCTCTTCTCATCAAAATCAGAGGTTTAATGATATGGGCGATGCCTTTTCATCTCTTGCGGATTCTATAAGAAATCCTTCTAGGGTTGTAGATCAATCACTTTCGAACGGCATGCCTCCTTTTTCACAAATCAGTACTCCGCAGTCTAGAAATCCTTTGATGTCAAATGGTCACTGGGATGGTTGGAATGAAGTTCAGAGCGGGAACAATCTGGGTGTGACAGAACTTCTTAGACCTGAGAGGTTTAGTTACAACAAATACTTTACTGGATATGACGATTCCAAATTACGTATGCCTGGACAGAGTGACATATACAACAGGACTTTTGGGCTCTAGTCTAATCGATGGAAAACTTCTGCCTTCTACATTTGGCTGCCATGAAATGGTACAACTAGATCACATCTGGTCTTATGGACCGTGGTTTATGGGTGATGAATAAATGAGTTGGCTGCTCAACAATGACCTAAGAGGCTGGTTCAGACAAAACCTTCAGGAGGATGAAATTACTTGTGATAGGTTCAAATCTGACTGTTTCTGATTGGTGAAGGATCAAACCCAGGAAATAGGGTTATCCAAAAACCAAGAGGTAAGTGAATTCTACTTTCTATCCTGCTCTCAGGAGCGCACTCACACACTAACTCATTTGGATTTTGGTGCGATTGATGTCTAGTGTTTAGTTTCGGTTGGTTGCGGGTTTACTAGGTGCTTCGGGATTTTCTTGTCCTGTCTTTGAACTACCTGGAGTTTTCGCATGATTTTTCCTGTTAGTCAGTTGCAATATAAAATGTGGGGTTTTTCTTTTTTTAAAGTTGTCGATTCAAATTTGAGTTTACGAGTCTTTTAGTTTTCAAAGCAGCAGCTGCTGGAAATCTGTGAATCATTGATGGAGCATGTTATTTTAACTTTGTTCCATTGTTGTCAATCCATGAATAACCTGCTGTGCGCTTGTAATACAGCGGAATTGCAGTTAGGGAGAAAGCTGAGACTTTAGCTGAGATGTGAATGAAGAGAAGATCTCAGCTGATTTGTGAAGGTTGACAGATTGCCGGACATGATTGCAGACTATTGGGTTATTTCCCTGAACCAAAAGAGTATGATGAGGAAGTTGTCATAATTTTTGTCCCAACAACTTAAACAGATTAGTTTATATTTCAGGCGTAGAATCATCTATAAGCTGATGTTTAATTGTTTAACAAATGTATAAATACTACACATTATTGCTGCTCCTTGAGTCCGTGGATCAACTCATCCGTTTGTACGATAATGTGATGTTCGAATTGAGTTTCAAGTATTCGTTGGAAAATCATGTATAATTGTGACATGTATTTGAATTGATTTGTTAACGGGAATCATATCAGGGTATGTTTGGCCTGGTGTTTGATCTTTCCGACACAAAACAGAACTCAAATTACTGCGATCTTAGGAGTTACATAGTCCCTGTTGTCGTCCTACTAAAGAGCCACAAAAACACTAAATTTTGTTTAAACTTGTGCCTTTTAATTAAGACGAGAGAGTATGAGACGAAGACTTGATGATAGCGAGTAACATACACAGCCTTGAGAACATGAGTTCACAATGAAAATAGATGTTGCACGCAGCTCAGAATCAAAGGAAAATGTGAATGTGTTCTTTAATCCTTATCGGGTCGTTCGGTTAAAAAAATTTAAAAGAATTGATGTGGATAAAAAAAATTTATTTTAATTTTGGTGGACATAAGTAGTTGTCCTCTCAAATTTGAAAATTTAATAAATAAACATGAAATCGGATTTCAGAAATTTGAACTACTTTTTATTTTAATAAAAAAATCTTTTATTGAAAAAAACTTTGAAAATTTGAATTTTGTTCGGAATTCGCATTAAATTGACATATTCAATTTTAAAAAAATAAAAAAATAAGAAATATTGTATTATATATGATATTAATAGAATCTTTTATTACTAATAATTACTAGGAATTTACATTAAATTAATGAAAAATATATATTAATAATGTTACGTAGTACTATTAAAACTGATAGAAATTTGAATTAAATTAATTCAATATAATTGATGAAAAATATATATTACTAGTGTTACGTAGTGTTATGTACTATTCGTATGTACGAGTATTATGTAATACATTAATACTATTACCCAATATACATCACTGGTACTAGTGTTACTTATTACTGTTAAATCTATTAGTCATTAGATATTATCATTAATTCATTATAATTCATATGTACTAGTGTTATGTACTTTTTAAGCAAATAATTGAATTTTTAGAATTAGAGTTAAGCAAAAAATTCGATTTTCAAAATCAGGCCATAGAGTTTAGGGTATAGTTTTAGATTTCTCAAATCCGAGTTTATCTCAAAATCCAATTACGAGAATGCGAAATTAGCTTAAAGCTTAAACTCGAATTTCTAAAATTTGATTTTTAGGATTTAGGGTTTAGTTACGAATTTCCCAAATCCGATTTTAGTTTAACTAAAAATTAAGTTTTCTATATCCGATTTAGTTTAAAACGTTGAGTTTTAGGGTTTAGTTCAATGTGCCTTGTGTGGGTATGGGCACTATCCGGGTGAACGCAAATCCAAAAGTTGCCATTTTCTAAACAATTCGGATTTCTCAAATTCGAAGGTAAGTACAGAGTCTTTCTTTTTATTTTTAACATTTAGATTTTTTTTCTAAAACTTAAAATAATTTTTTATTATGAACTTTCGGATTTTCGAAATTCGAATTTCCATGTTTTGGATTAGGCTAATCCGTTTCTAGTCAATTTTTATTTTCGAACACTTAGATTATTTTTCCAAAAAATAAATATTTTTTTATTACCGACTCTCGAATTTGCCAAATCCGACTCTTGATTAGTTTAAATTAATCCTTTGATTCAATTTATGTAATTTTAGGTTATTAAAGTCTCGGATTACACTAATCCGAGTTTCAGTGGTCTTGGATTTGCGAAATCCGACTGTGCGGTACTCTCGGATTTGGCAAATTCGAGAGAATTAGTATTGTTCACCTAATTTAGATCTATATTATTTTTGTCTAGGGTCTTTTTTAAATAATTTTTTGGGGTAAAAAACTCAATCCTTACTCTCATTTAGCGTTGAATATCAGGGTTGTTCTACCGCCTCTGGTTGTCCGATTCAGCGCCATAAATTGTACTTCTTTTTTATAAATTTTAATTTGTAGGAGGATTCTAAACACCCCCTCCTCCAACACACACACACACACACACTCAGACACCAGGAGTCCACTCAATCTAAACAACGAAGAAATTCAACCCAAAAGGCAACATCAGACTCAGGGGCAGGGGAGGGACCATGCCGATAAACGATGATCATCACAACATTCAACAGCATATATAAAATTCCAAACAGAGTAACTGGGCCTACCACGTGTCTGAAACCCAATTGATTTTGATCCATCGAGAGACTCCAATTGAATTTTGTCAGTGTAGCGTTCCTACTACTGAAAAAGGATAGAGAATTTTCTTCTTAATTTTCTCTCATGGAGTCATGGGACGTGTAAAAAAGAATCGGCATCGAACCTTAGGAAAAGTGAAAAATACTCCAAGGGGGTACGCGGTTGTACGTATGATTTGATCGCATACACACATCGGACCCACCCCATAAAAAAAACTAATGGTTTAGATATTAATGAAAATAATGTGCCAGTGACGTAATCATTGTATCTTATGTTAAAATTTTACTTAATATTCAACGATTAAAATCTTAGTCCTAGTGAATTAATGAAAGGTAAGGGGATACAAACTAACAAAGGTTGTTTAATTCAGCTTTTAATGACGAGTCCAAAACAAATGAAAAAAGAAAATGAAAATTTCAGAATAAAATTTTTTACTTATTTGTCAAATTACTTCACAACAAGAAGTATAATTCTTATTTAAGAACGATGGATGCAGGGGCTGATGGAGCAGTCAAGTAGAGGCATAGTGCATGGAGTTGGGGCAATTCTTGGAGAAATGGGAGTTTTGTGTGGTGTTTGATAAAAATCAGGTGGGATTTCGGACGATATTTTCAGTCTTCGACTGCCCTTTATCTATATATATATATATATACATAAATCTTTTAATCATTGGAGCAGCAGGACACTAATCAATAGTTACGTGTTTGTTTCTCAGTTTGACATTAAACTTAGTACCTTGCACAAATGCAGTACTGTATTGTAGTAGTAATATATAACATCTTTCGAATTTTCCAAAGAAAAGATTGTGCTAATCTTTGATTGTTTCGAACATCTTTATTTTACAACGCGACAGTACCGAAATGGCTTGTTTCGCACATGACTCACGTTACCGTTCTAGATAACCGCTGAAAACTACCGACATTGATTCTCCACGTTTTGCCTTTCTTTTATATATATATATATATATATATATATATATATATATTTTTTTTTTTTTCTCATCATGATTATTTTCTTAAAATTTATGTCTCGAGCTCTATGTTCAAATCTAGTCTCATCCGAATTCGATCCCAGTATATTTTTCTTCTTTAGACCCGACATACAAGATTTTATTAATCACAGTGCATGTTCATATTAGGTTTTGAGTCGTTCCGATCATAACCATAATCAGAAATTAATTTATGAAAATGTATAATTCACATTATAATAAGCAATGAATGGCATTTTTTTCTTTTAATACAATTTACGTATTATAATGTGAAATATTTATTTTTGGGACGGAGCGAATATTGCATTTTCCTCCAATATATATAAGTGAAGAAATGACAAGAGACTAAGCGTAGTCCCTCACAAAAAAAATGTTCATCGATTAATCATGTATAAACGAAATATTAAAGTGATATTAAGATAATTATCAAAGTGTTGTTGTTTGATCGAGTTTCAAATTTAAATCTTATTATCATCATATTAATGAATAGTTAGTGAATATCACAGCATCAGTGAACGTACCAGAATCACGGCCTAAGACCCGTGATTCCAAAAAACGAAAAAAAAAGAAAAAAGAAAGAAAAGAAACAAGGCCATCTCTTTGAACACAATAAAAAGAATTCGGGTTGACTACAAATATCAGAAAACAAGAACTCTCTCCGTCCCATAATTATTGTCCAGTTTGGGTTTCTATTTTTAGTTCAAATTGTACTAAAAGTGAAATCTCAAACTGGACAATAATTATGGGACGGAGGGAATATAAAGAAACAACAAATAGTAGTGGAGTAGTAAGCAACAACAGCCTTTTCTTTTTCCTCCTTTGAGGGGGGAAGGGGAAATTCCAATAATGTGTTTATTGAAACAGCTCAGCTTGAAGATGATCCCTCAAAAACTCTACTGTGTGATATATTCGGTATCCTATCTTCACGACAAAAAATGGCCCAGAAATATTTGGCTAAAAAAGCCAAAATGAGGAAGAAAGAAAGGGTCAGTTGATTTGATTGAACAATGAAAGCATTTTGATTTTAGACCAATTGAAATTGATTTGCAGTTACATCAGATTTTCTTCATATGTGTCTTTTTTGATTTGTAGTATTCGCCAACTTGAAATGATTTATTTTTCCTTTTTTTTTTAAAATTTTCTTTCTGAAAATTGACATAACTACAAACGTGGCATATCCCTCTCCTCTTCCAATATTTTTTCGACTTTATTCCTCTCTCAGAGAGTAGTTGCAAATGATAGCTATTGCTTTGCTTTGCTTTGCCCAAATTTGGTATGAAGTATGGCCTCTCCTTAGTACTTGTACATTTCCTTTCTGAATAAAATCTTATTCCTGTTGGAATAATCTCTAAATCAAAGTACCAATAGATTTGGTCTTATTTATTTAAATGGACCTTTGATTTTCTAAAAAAGAAAAATTATCAAATTTGATTGCACGTTTTGATCAAAGTATGATCTACGTGATGTTAATAAAAGACAAATGTATCAAGATTCAGTTTATTGAGACAAAATGTGTACCCATTGTATAGGAGACACAAGTGGAAAGTTAGAAAGACGCTTATATGCTTTCATTAGATTGATTTAACCAAATAGCTTCCTATGGATAGTTTCACTTTTTTCAGTCAAAACCATCCAACCAAAAGTGCTTTAGAAGCAAAGACATATAGTCATTGCCTGATATCTTTTCAGTTTTCAACATACACCCAATGCCATTACCATAAAAGCCCTCAAGAAATTGATTAGATGTTGAAAAAAGATCATTGTGAAGTACTAGGAAAGAAATTAGGGGAATCATACAACTAAGGCTGAAAAGAGAATTGATACCTAACCTTCATCACACACCTTACACACAGATACGAGTGTTTATGGATTGCAAATCTGTTCTCTTAAGAATTTTCGCTACATTACACATGAAGAATCAGATAAGGGAGTTTCAACATTCGACCTATTTTTTTGACAAAAATTTACTATTAAGAAATAGTCAGTGAAAGAATCTTTTAGGTGTATACATCCTTGATTCAAACGTTGCCAAATAATCTTGATTTGATGGCTTTGTTAGCTATATTATTCCTAATCATTGTAAATAATGCTTTACAAACACATGAGTATTATGTAGGTGGCCAATGTGGCTTGACCTGGTAACGGATTTGTGTTGTACTCGCGTCAAGCGGGGGAAATGAAGCGAAGCAAACGTTGTGGGTGGAATTGTTGGATGCCTTCGATGAAGGGGCCGAAGCAGTGGTAACCGGAGATGAGAATCCTGATGATGCTGCAGTGGAGAACACTGTCACTGGGGTAGCACTGAACTGATTTTGCGCTTGCCACGCCCATTTTGGTGGCGGTCCCTGTGATGAACCAACTTCAATCCTTTTCTCAGATGCGAGTTCCTGTCAAATTGACCTCTTTTAGTGTTATGTCTTTGAAGATCCATGAAGTAGAAACTGGTGAATCAATATGCCAAGAACAATTCTGGAGCTAAAGAGTATTCATCAGTTTCCATTGATTTTCCAGTTTGCAAGTTTGAGTAAGGGCCTTAGTTTACGTGTGCAACAGATAACATGCTGCGTTCCACCACATTGCAGCATCACTCAGAACTAAATTTCATGAACTTCGAGCAGGCAAGAAATGATCACTAACTACTTACAGTCCACCCAGTTCAAATTTTTTTATTCAACTACCTCATGGTGAAACCGACTACACTATAGGCTAAAATCAAGATATTCAAGCAAAAATCAAGATCCTCCTCTATAGCAATGCAGATTGGAATGATCATGATCCAACTGGAGTGAAAATAAGAAACCATAAATGTTACCTTGTAATTCGGAATGAAGTTGTACACATTAGAATATACACCAGCCCACAAGTGAGGGTGATCTGATGCCAATGGTAGTCCTTTAAGAGGAATCGCAGTCATAACAGACGGATCCATCTGAGAGAAAGTACACGGAAAGAGATTAATTTGATCCCTTAATGAAGAAAACTGAAGCATTCTGTCTTCATGAATAAAGAGTTGACCAATAAAGCTTGAGAACCAGTAAGTTCTCTTAGCCGAGAGGGTCTATCTACTTTTAAGAAATTTGTACCTTTGGAATTCTAGTGCTTTGAATGTGGTATGGATGGTATTGTGGCCCTCTTGAACTTCCATTTTCATTTCCAGATGTTGAAATCCCCAAATTCAAATCGAGATCATGTTGGATCCCTGAAGTATTAACATCAAATAGGTAAATATGAGAACACAGACTACTAAAAACAAAGAACAAATATGAGAACACAAAAATAGATTCTAACCTTCACTGTGGTTATGGGAAGGCAGGATCATCGGATGTGATGACGCTTCTGGTACATACGTACTGGGCTCGAAGTTGGTGACAGCCTCCCTCCCGTTACATTCGATAGCTGCTTTGTCATAAGCCCTGATTTCGAGAAAATCAAAAGGGAGACACACGAGTTGGTTGATACCGTATTGAGGTTGAGAATGCAGGGAAATAAATTTCGAGTATCAGGAAGGGAGAAGGTAATTCATGATCATTAGGACCTTGCAGCTTCTATTTCACTGTCGAATAACCCAAGATATATATACCTGCAAAGCAATCATCGCAACCCCAGCCAATTACATCGAATTCATGTATCTTTTTCCTAGCAAATTTGTATTACTACTACTACTACTACTAGTACTATTATCATTTGACTTCTTGACAACTTTGTTTCCCATACCAAACCAAGACACACTAAACATTCTTGCAAGCCCATATGCATATATCCAGTAACAGGAAAGAACAGTGGAAAAGATAGCTCACTTTTTGCCAAGGAATTGCCCCATTCGAGCTTCCCATCTGCCACACTTGTGCAGTGTTACTCCCCTGTATTTGGAGCTTCCCCTAGAGAAACCAGTGCTCTGTCGCCGTAGTATGTGCACAAATTCTTCTTTACTCAAATTCTTCATCTGCATTAGTCCATTTACATTGATACTCTAGGACTCAAGGAAACACAAAAGATCAAACTCTTTGCTTCTTCGTTTTTTCCAAACTAACCAACAAATTTCACCTGTTTCATGTCATCCTCATAATCAGAGATGTTGAAATTGATATCTGCATCCACACCCCGGAACTTAATCGCAGCTCTGTCATAGGCTCTGATAACACAATTTAGCCAAAGATCAGAACTCTAATACATAAAAATAAAATTCCAATAATTTCCAGAATTCAACAGTCCCAAAACTAATCTCACCTAGCAGCCGCATGAGCAGTGTCAAATCCACCTAAAAGTAAATCCCAGATCAGTTAGCAGAAATTTAATCAGAAAGAAGAAAGGTTCACCTCAAGAAAAGAAACAATCATTCATACCTAAATACACTTGTTTTCCACAATCCCTGCAACCCAATTAAGGACAAAAAGAGAACAAAATTGATCAACTGAAGTTTCCAAATTCCAAATTAACACTCATTCAACAAACAAGCTCCAAAACAGTGAAAATGAAAAATGCAAAGAAAAAAAGCATAAAAAACTAACCAAATATGAGACTCCCATCTGCCAGTTCTTCTATAAAAAGTAACTCCTCTGTACTGTGAACTCCGGGACCTTGGCCCTCTTCTACTCCTCTTCCCTGGCTGTTGTTGCTGCGGCTTTTGTATTTGTTGTTGGGCTTGTGGTTGACCACCAAATGAAAGATCCACAACCCAATTGTTCCGGGCCCCGTTTGGGCCGGATACTGGCCGGTGCTCTTCGTATTGATTACTGACCGGAAAAAGCTCCCGGGTGACAATCCGGCCGTCGTTATTCGCAACTTCTGGTGGGCATCCGGGGGGTTTATTACTCCCGGCGTTGACTTTAAGGATGCCGAAGTTGAAGGTGAGGAGTTGGTTGTCGGAGGAAGACGGCGTGTCGTCGTCAACGGGGGTTGCATTGCTGGAAGCAGCTTCTCCGGCATCAGCTCCGTTCACCACCGACGACGATGAATTGGATGTGGACCCCGGTTCCACCACGCACCCTTCTCCTTCTTCTTCTTCCTCCTCCTCCTCATCATCATTATTCTTGTTCTTAACATCATTAATCTCCTCGAGGACTTCTTCATCCTCGTCGTAGTTCATCGCGTTCAAATTCAGGTCCAACATTCTCATAAAATTGATGCAATTTACTATAAACTTATGCTAACTGAAATACAGAGCCAACCCAAAAAATCAAGAGGGTTTTTTTTTTTCCTTCTCTTTTTGGGATCAAAGTAATTTGATGAAGAGGAGACCTGAAGAAATGATCATGGAAAATGAATTGATGATCAAGAAAAGAGAAGCAAGCAAGTTGGTAGAAAAAGGAAGAGTGGAAAAAGAGAAAATGGAACAATAATGGAGTGAGTGTGTGTCTATGTAATAAAATGGGAAGCAAAGAGTCTAAAACAACACTATATATATAACCAACAGAAATAACCACCTAAATTTAACTAATAATATTAAATTCCTTTTTTTTTTTTTGGGGTTCAAAACTAATAATATTATTAACAATAAAAGGGTGAGCTTGGAGAAGATCATCAAATTAATTTACTCATTCCTTCCCTAAAAACCAATGCGAAATATTGAATTTTTTCATTTCATTTTAATAATCTGTCATTGTATAGTTTTAATTCCCCAAATAAAATGAAACCCGATGAATTAATATTTTAGTTCAATAAAAAACTTTTTGGTTATAGATAGAAAAAACAATAATTTTATGTTTGATTTTCTCTTGATAACTCAATCAAAGAATATAACAGCATTATGAATACTAATCACATACAGTTTCATTTAGAAAACAATTTTTCCCCCTAGCGATGATATGATATACTACAAAAAAAAAAAATGTGATAACATTACAATGTGGGTAGAATAATTATTACTATATTATTTTTCCAAAATTTTTATATTTTCTAGTTTTATTTAGTGACCACAATTGGTAAGTGACAACAAGACTGACCAACGAATCTTTTCTTTTCTCATTTCTTTTAGCTATTAGAGGGAGTGAGGTAGGACCAGTTTCGGGTGGTCGTAGGATAACAGGTTTTACCGGTAGTGGGTTCCTGAGATCCTTTGTGTTTGTGTTTTAAAATTATTTTTTATACTACTAATTAACAAAAGAGGTAAAAACGTGATGCGTAGTCCAATTGGATCGTAAAATAAACCTATTTGGAGACATTGCTTTTGTTGCGGTGGTAGTAACAATTAGCACGCAATCTATTTGTCTTTTACTTCTTTTTTTTTTTTTTTTGTATGATACACATAAAACACTATACCGATTAATTCGAATTCTAATTGATTTGATTATATCTTTAAAAAGTTTAAAACACTGATGAATTTAAAGTTTTTTACTTGATGTATTATTTTGTTGGCTGAGTAGCTGCGATATGATCTAATTAAGGCTGAAGGAAGCAGATTTATAGCTGATTTTCCTATCAAACTTGTCAAATCTCCAACTATTAATCATATTGATGAATTATTGTCACATATGATGGTTAGCTGAGTTAGACAAGTTCAAAGTTGAAACAATAAGTTATATAAATATAGAATAAATTAATTAAGAGTGCAAAGGGTTTAATTAGATTATTATATTTAAGATAAGAGAGTTTTATTAGATGATTATACTACTCTCTCTGTCCCAAAATTAATGTCCAGTTTGAAATTTCACTTTCAGTTAATTTGAATTAGAAATGAAAATCCAAACTGAACAATAATTATGAGACGGAGGGAGTATATCATATAATAAAGAGAGCTAATTCTTAATTTGATCATGCGTGTTTCTTTCATTACAAGTCCTACTTAAACATTTGAAGTGAAAACTAAAATGATACTTCACGTCCTGTTTTAATAGTTCACCTTTTTGAACGTTTTAATTACGTAGAATGGAGAAAAATTTGTGATCAGATTTTTATTTGCGTCTTCAAGTTGTTCTTAACTTGAAAATAAAATACTGTCAGTTGAAAAATTTTGCATCTGAAAAAGGGTTACGCAACCATCAAATTACGAATTATTTCAACGATGTCGTACATCTCCGTGTTACAAAGGTAAAACTACAGACTTAAAAAAAACACACACCCACAAAAATTAGAACAGAGAAAAGGATGGAACAAGTCATTTTAAGAGAAAATAACACAAAACTTTAGCAACATTTTGTTAAAAGTTTTAATAAATGGTATTTTTCCGTTCCAATACGGTTATATTATTCATTGGAAGAGAATTATCTTTCTACCTACCATATATCATATGACAAAATTATTTAATGACTATTACCATAGATAACATATTTATCAACAATTCCAAGATCCACCGACTAGGGGGAAAAGAACATCCTATTGATTAAAATCTGGTTGTAAGAGGTTTCATCAGATTCCTTTTATTAGATTGACGTGGTTGCATTTCTTGTTGCAATTTGGATTAATCACATGCACTTTATTAATGAAATCAGGAATGTCAGCATATATTTCTTTGGTTACTAAAGAAATTTTTTATAAAGAAATTCATGACTATAATGTTGGTAAGCGAATTAATCAATGTGAATAGAGTCATTTCTTCTTTTCACAATTACAAATATCTTTATTTATTTATTTATTGTACTATGCAGGAAGATGCAACTACTTTTTGAGGTAGAAATTGTTCATCAATCAATCCTTTCAATCAAATCGTTTTGAAGATTTGGTTTTTTAGTGTGTCTTTTTTACTGTTTTTTTATGAAAAATATAAAAAATTATATTAAGATGAGACAGTTATTAATATATTATTAATTTGAAAACACCGTAAAAAAAAAACAAACAAAGCCTAAAAGACTTACTAGTTTCATGGGTCCTAATGTACTCATAAAAGAAAATAAATAAATATAAATGAGAAAGAAAATGCCATGGGTCCTAGATTCCTTAATGATAACATTAATAATAATCATACTGTTCAATTGGCTGCTAGCTAATCATCCCATTATTAAGCTACACCTGTCTATTGGACCGATTATTTTATTAAAAGTGTACAAGACAACCATATGGCTTAGTTAACACACACGTAGGTTGTCCTAATTAACATTTGGACTGTACCTCAACAATCCTTAATTTTTGGTTTCCCAACTATTATTTGGGGGTAATTTCTGAGGCGAACCGCTTATAACACACTATTATCTTACAACGTTTTAGAAATAAAATATTTTAAGAGTATCACGCTAAAATCAGAAGCAACTTTGCAAATCACGTGTCCACAAAAGAATAGTTGGAGTTTTTTTCTTTTTTTTCTTTGTAGCTGTAATTTGTTTCTTTCCGTATTTGTATTAATAATTATTTTGGAAGAAAAATGTACTCCCTCCGTCCCATAATTATTGTCCAGTTTTACTAAAATGAAAGATTTTATTTTTGGTCAAACTTAACTATATTTTACCTTAAACAACTGGATATACCCCTACATAAGTAATTGTTTGACCACTAAGATTTTATGGATAATGTTTTTTACTAAGGACAAATGTGTAACTTGATCCATAAAAAGTCAAATTGGACAATAATTTTGGGACAAAATTTTTTAGACAAAGTGGACAATAATTATAGGATGGAGGGAGTAGTTGATGGTGTCCTAAGATGAACTGATTTGTCACTAGAAACCGTTAAAAATCACGTGTTACTTTTTTCTTAGGGTTTCTGTCCAATACGGTAATGTAATGCTATAATTTTGAGTCATTCAATTGTCTTAACCGAAGAAGACTCTGATAAATGTTTGAGCGTAATGAAAATTCCTATGTACTCGCAATTCATATAAGTAAAAAAAAATAAAAATAAAAAATCAGCATAAATCACCATTCTCAAATTTGTATTTCTTAGATTTCTAAAATAATATTGTAAAAATATTTTCATTTGTTGGTAGTAGAACGTGAGTTGTGGGACAAATATAGTTATTACAATAACAAAAACCGTATCACATCAATATTAGACTATTACTTAGATTTGGTTCCATATATATTATAATGTCACTTACTTTCCAAATTCACTAAAAAATGTGTGTCATTAAAACTTGGTGACACATGAATACTTCTTTTTCTTTGATTGTAAACCGTATTATCTCAATGGAGAACATTAGGAAACGTGCGGAAATACGAGATACGTGCACTACATGGAAATACTTTATTGTGAAATGGACCACCAATAAAAAGTTCTGGACCAACTCGTTTTCATTACATTTTTGTCTTTATTTGAAGGTTCATGGACCAACGGATTAATTGCTAAGTTGGTTTTATTTTGTGTACGCACCTAACACCCAAGACTAATTAGCTAAGTTGATTTAAAACACTACAATAAATAACATATTTAATTTAAACACTACAAGAGTCCCTTTTTCTTTCTTTTTTTTTCTTTTTCTTTGGTTACAGCTAATTTTGCCTCTTGAAACGATCGAATAGAAATGTTGATGGAGTAGTAGCGTCCAATTTCATTAAAGCACGAGCTTAAAGCAAATGAACCACGCTGCGCTCTAAAGAAAATATCATAAGTAAATTGACATGATGTATTTTTATTATTACTCATAAAAAAGTTCTTTGACCAAAAAAATTTAAAAGAATTGATGTGAAAAAAAAAATTTTACTTTTTTTTTTTCTTTTTGTGGACATAAGTAGTTGTCCCGAATTTAACAAATCCGATAGCTTAATTAAAAAGGCTTTCGAATTTTCCAAATCTGAAACCACTAAATATAATAAAAAATTATATATTTTCTTTATTTCGAAAAACACGAAAAATAGGGTCAAAAGGTGAACAGTGACTCGGATTTGCGAAATCCGAAAGGGTTTAAATTTAATATTCAAAAAATACAAAAAAAATGGCGGACAAATTCAAAAATTGGAACAGTATACCCGGATTTGCCAAATCCGAGTTCTAGGGTTTAGGGTTATCTCTCGAATTTGTCAAATCCGAGGGCATCCTTTCGGTTTAGTGGTAATCCGTCCTTGTGAATAAGGTTGTTGGATGTATTAAATCGGATCGGATAAGGTGACGGACATTCGGATTTGTCAAATCCGAGAGCCACACATGAATAGTGACTCTTGGATTTGCCAAATCCGAAACATACGTCATATAAAAAGAAAAAGTTGCAACTTCTCTTCATATCGGGTTCTTCAACTTGTGAGGGTTAGTGAAGGTTGTGGCCGGAATTCTTCAGACTTTTGGACGCACATTACCGTTAAATGCAACAAGAATCATTATTCTAACGAGGTTAGTCATTAAATCAATAATTTTTTTGTTGTTTTGTTGTGTATTTATATTGTTTGAAGATGGAAGATTGGCAGGACTTAGGATTGATGATTAAATGTAATATGGTAATATAGATATTGTTGTTGAGTTTATAAGTTAGGATTGTTGTTATTTTAAGAATTGATTGAGG